TTGATGCCAATTGAATACAATTGACTCATCACAGTGTTCAGGTAATTCAGGTATTATGTCATTGGGTTGTTGTCCAACATTTTCATATTAAATAACTTTTTCATCAAGAACACTTTATTTGAGGATGATGGCTTCCCATATATCTTAGTCAGTGCGGTTAAGAGATTAACTGAATTCTTCTCATTCATAATGTTGAATGCAACAGATGAGGAAAGTCAAAGTCGTATCAAACCTAATGTAGTCCGATCAAGAACCTCCCACAACACCATAATCATAGAATCCCGCTTTTTGGTGATTTCTTCCAATGGCAAATACAACTTCTTCTGATACAACAAATCTTCAGTTTGAATCCTCCATAATGCAAAGTTCGAGCTATTGAACTTCTCATTCTTGTATCTTGTTTTGTCCGCCATTACTACAACTCAAACTGAACAACCTAAATCTGATAACAATTGTTGGGGATGAGGAGGAATAAACAACATAATGATGAAACAAGCAAGAAAGTAAAAGCAACAAAAAAATAATGGACAACAGGATTTACCGGAAAAAAATTCTAAATAGGAAAAAAATCACAGAGCCACAACACACCAAGAAACCCACTATGAAAATTGGGAGAAATAATTACAGATCTCTCTTTTCTCTTGCTCTCTCATTGCTTCTCTTCTCACATGCACCGTTCTCTGTCTACCACACCAAAAATACAAGAGAAACACAAGCAAATAACCCCAAGGGACGCAACCCTTCAGAAAAACGAGAAAGAAAATCATCGTCTGTCTCGCAGTGGTGCGGCGCCAATTTGGGGTGCTAAAATGCTTGAACCTCTATCTTAATCCGCTTTGGCGTGGTATCTAGACCGCTGCGGTCTATGATGCACAGACACCTCTCCTCAAAAAGACGTGCAATGTCCGACACGACACATGTCCAACACACCTCAAACACATGTCGGACACACAAAAAACATGTCTAATTAAAGAACTATTAAATATAAAATGGACACTATGAATTTTTTTTAAAATACATTCTATTATTTTGAACATTTTATTTATTTAAATATGCAAAATAAATTTCTAATTTCCTATCAACAACACCAAATCAATTGCTCACACTCAACACATTTTTCATCGAATATTCTCATTTTCATTTCTCTTTAGCGATCGCGACTTTAGTTTCACAACAACGTCCGATGTCATCTCAACATCGACGTCTGAAGTTATTACAACATCGGTATTTCAAAACCATCTTAACATCAAAGTTTAACATTTTCTTAACATTGATGCTCGATGTTAACAATTTCTACACTCACAACTTGACAGTTCATCTTTGTCCGACATTATCTTAACATCGACAACATGTGCCTTCTTGACATCTATGTCCAATACTTACTGCATAACATCAATGTCTGACTCTCAATATCCCAATATTAATTATTTTAAACACAAATTTAGTTAAATGACTTATTATTTCTACATTATTTTTAATATTATACTTATTTAATTTTTACACATTATTTTTAAAATATAAAAATGATAATATCGTGTATAACTCGTGCCCATGTCCTATATTTTTAATAATTGACGTGTCTCATGCCCGTGTCATGTTGTATCCGTGTCGTCGTATCCATGTCGTCGTGTCCGTATTTGTGCATCATAGGTTGCGGTGCTCGACTCTTTAACATTCAACGCTGGGGCGCTCGAGTACACAGCATCAGGGCATTATATGAGAAAAAATTCTATCCTGAAACACCTGAACGCAAGCAGGGGGTAAGCCCCCTACACCCTCCAGCAAGGCAGCAAGTACATTATTTTTAATATTATACTTATTTAATTTTTTACACGTTACTTTTAAAATATAAAAAATGATAATATAGTGTATAACTCATGCCCATGTCCTATATTTTTAATAATTGACGTGTCTCGTGCCCGTGTCATGTTGTATCAGTGTCGTCGTATCCATGTCATCGTGTCCGTATTTGTGCATCATAGGTTGCAGTGCTCGACTCTTTAACATTCAACGCTGTGGCGCTCGAGTACACAGCATTAGGGCATTATATGAGAAAAAATTCTAGCTTGAAACACTTGAACGCAAGCAGAGGGTAAGCCCCCTACACCCTCCAGCAATTACAACAAACTTGAGGTTCGAGGAAACAAAACAACCCAATTCATTAGCACAATCAGATTCCTCACATAACAAAGTCCTCACTAAAGGTTGAAATCTTTTGATGGTGTTATATCACTTCTTTAATATTAGTCCAAAAAGTATTCATCTTTATATTTCTATAGAGATACTTTCAATTTCTTTTGCTATTCCAAATTGGTATTAGAATCCAAAATGATTTGTCAACAAAATTGCTCTATACAAGTCCATATGTGATATATTCACAATTTTATGAGGCGGGAAATAATTTAGACCTTGTTTGATGATTTGGGTGCGATGTCACTCATTAAAGATTGAACTTACGCTCATTGTTTATAATGCTTCATGCCCAATAATGACATGATGTTCCTTGTGAAGTAAGACGGGGATGATTCTTGCTTATGATGTAAATGACATTTTGTTACTTTTTTTATTGGCATAAAATCTACAATTGAATGTAACAAAAAATAACTCTATCCAAATTTATAAACGACTTAAATTCATTTTATTTAGAAGAGTTTTTAGCTCCAATTACAAGAACGTAACTAGATATTTCCTGTGACTCATTCATGCAAGTCATTAGCTGCAAGTGTTCCATCCTCCTTTGTAAGTTTTCTCTCTTGGAAACAATGGCATCTATCTCATCGATGAAAACAATGGAAGGAGCAGTTCGGTATGCCTTTTTGAAAAGGTCACGTATGCTTTCTTCAGATGCACCTTAGACACCAGACACCACTTCAGTAGCAGAAATTTTGTGGAATGACAAGACAGACTCATTGGCAATTGCATAAGCAAGCATTGTCTTCCCACACCCAGGCGGACCATGCAACAATATTCCACCCGTCGGTCTCACCCCAAGCCTTTTGTGCACGTCTAAATGGAAGAACGGTATAATCGGCTTCATCAAATCCACCAAAATCAAATTAATGCCTCCGACATCCTGAAACCTCGGTCTTTCTCTCCTTGTCATGTTACTCCTACAACTAGCGGGACTAGCTAACAACTGTAGAAGTCCACATATGCTTATCTGATTGGTTAGCTTGTAACTGTCAGAGTGCTCTTCGCTTCCTGGGAACGCCGCATTACATGGCGTTGCAATTCCCGGCGTTCCCAGGAAGCGAAGAGCACTCAGGCAGTTACAAGCTAGCCAATCAGATAAGCACGTGTGGACTTCTAGTCTTCTACAACTAGCTTGAACAGTACAAGGATCCACTAACCCTCTACAAACCTTTAGAATATGTTTGGCGGTTAATCACACCATCTAAAGCTCACCTAAGAAATGGTTCTATCAAATTCTAGCTTAGTCCTTCTAGGACGCTACGATATGTGCATCATATAAAACATGATGCATGATTAGATAGCAATCTTTTTAATCCAACCATGGAAAAAGAATTTTTTGAGGAGGTCACAATATCATGCATATTGTCAACTGGATGCAAAAAAAAAAAAATTCTTTTAAAAAGAGATATTTTCTTATAAGAAATGTTCAATTACTTTCTTGTATCTAGGAAGATTAACTCGCATTAATCTTGGCCTCCAACTTTACTGGTCAAGGGTACCAAACCTTGCAACCAAAAAAAAATCTATTATTAATTATCAATGCTAGATGAAGTCTAGCACTATCAACACTACCAACTGATTAATTCCATTATCTATGTTGCACGAATATAATGGTTCTTCATGATACGATCAATTCAATAATTTAGATGGGGTGAATCCTCTTTTTGTTTTTCATGCTTAATCAATTTATTTTAATTGGGTAAATCTTATGTTAAATATAATTCGAGTTGTGTATATGATTAACTCACAATATAATTATGCTACCCAAAAATATTATATTTAATTTATAATGTGTAGATTATTAACTTATTAGGAAGATAATGCTAAAAAACCCTTGTGTCAAGAAAGTTATATTTCCAAAACAACCCGATCAGACGAAAAAACACTCCGTGGATATTTACCAACCGATTGTCTATGGCATGATTGCTAGAAATAACCATAAGGCTTATCCGACCGAAATTCACCAGAAACAGCTTCTCTGGCTGATTTTGAGTTGTTAAAAACAAATTTCTACTTTACTGGCTTTTTGTTTTGATAGGAAATCGATAAGAAAAAGACCTTTTTTTGGGCAAGAAAAAGGTAATTTTTTAGACAAATACGTAATACACTCGCTATTTTCCTGTCGCAAAAAATAAAACGTCAAAGAACACGAAAGAAACAAAGTTTTTTAGCTTCAGCCAGATGACGATCGAGTTGCACCCGTAGAATAAAGAAGCTGAAACAGTCAAATATAAATAAGGTGGACTTAGTCTGCAGCAAAATAAAAATAAAGCTAAAGATAGGAACTTCCGAATCTTAAGGAATGAAAGAATATATAAATTATTTCTTCACCTACACAACTACAGAAAGAAAGTAGGTGGCTTTAGAAGCTAGCTCTCCGGAAGCAACATGAAGTAAAGATCGAAACCTTTACTTCGAAAAAGAGCAAAAAAATAACGTCAAAGTCACATAGATTTCATGTAGTTGTACATGAAACCCTTAGCAATTGTTTAACCACCAAGATCTGAAACTCGGATAAAATTTTGGAAGAGAAACATCAAATCCAACGCGTCTAATATTCCACGAACAAGACAAGATGCATTTTACCAAAACGGAAGCTGTGCTACTAGAAAGCTAGAGAAAACCTCTGGATAATACCAGATCCTAACATCGGCACTCCAGATTACCGCGTGAGCTTCCACTTTCCGGTTACTCAAATATTCAAAAAGCCACACAAAGCAGGAAAAAACGGAGGCAAGCGGCGAATATCTCTATCCTAAATATAATGTACGAGAAACTAAGCGAAACCAAAGGGAAACCCTCTTCACCTTCTAGATGAAACCTTCTGTCTCGAGCAAGTCCTCCTGTAGATTCTTCACTGCAGATCCGAGCAGGAGATCAGTTCAAGCTCCCCCGTACCACTACCAACCCTGAAACGAAGAAGACAAAAAGACAAGAAGACATCGTCCACTTACAATGCGGCTGTCACACGGCTTTCAATTGCCCGAAATCTGAGAAACCCTAGCAGAGAGAGGGAGGGGATGGAGGAGGGAGGGAGAGAGAAACCTGGCAAATGGCAATGGCGAGGAACGAGGAGACTTGAGGAGACTCGCAGCAGAAAAAGAAGCTAAGGGGGCACCTTTTTGTTGCAGTCTTTTAAGGAAATATAAAATTTTCTTTTTTTCTTTCGCTTTTTTTTTTCCTTCGTTAGGCAAATAATTATTTCTTCTGTTCCAATTTAGACATACAAAGACAAGTCGGCTGTATACTCTAAAAAATAATAATAATTTAAACCCTATTTTTATATTTAGCTAGAATGAATTTTATTTAATGAACAATAATTTTAAAAATATATATTCATATATAATATTTTTTTATATATTTTTATATTTAATATTTAAAAAGATTAAGAGTAAAATAATACATAATTTTTTAACAAAAGATAAATTCGATGATCC